TTAGGACAATATCGGCTGGTGTAAACAAGGGATTGTCCGTAGTCGTGACTAGAGCACGCAATCACACACATTTGTATAAATTAAAATTTTTAAAAATGGTCCTTTTTAAATAAATAACCTAATTCTACCAATTGCTCCTTCCCCTTTTTGTTAACCTCCTACGAAAAATGCATGCAAAACCAGCTCTGGTGAGGAAACTACACCAAAAACGGTTCCAAACGCACCCCAGGACAAACCAGCCGACAAAAGGCCTTCCATCGTCGTATCGTACAGAATCAATAACCTTCACAAACCCAAAAACTTACTGGAGGATCACCAATTTTATGTTCCATGTGAAACCAACCCCATAATACGGCTGACATGAGATATAAATTCGACCCGTTGGCATTATAAAACTTGGGCTCAATAACGTCGTCGAACCGACGCATGCCAAGACCACAAGAATTGGCCTTGGTCCGCTTTTATGGCCTCCCAATGTGCACAGTGAGGACGCTTCTCTCGGACCAATCGTAACGCTGAAAGGCACTTAAAATGCACGGACTGGCAAAGTGGCTGTTTCTGCGTCTCAACTTTGGTCAACACAATTCTTGGAGAAACATAGCGGTTTAGGTCTCCTTCCAATGACGTCATTATTTCCTTTGATGCCACACCCCTTTTTAATTCTATCCCCGGGACTAGTCAATCCAGAATACCCAACTACTCCTATGAAGCAAATACGATGAGATAGAGAATACCTACAGTCTTACAGCTCCTGTCTCAGGACCTACCCCACTTTTGACGGAACAACCTACGAGCAGGTAAAGGAAAGACCACTGAGTTAACCAATTTCTGGACCTATAGCCAAGACAGTCTCACAATGGTTAGAGTCACTGGTCTTCGAACACCACAAACCGCTATTGTAGGCGCGGCATGTGAATGATACTTTCGTCATCATTATGCGGACTCAGGTGCTCAACGCCACAACGCCCAATTTCACTTCTGGCCTACACGACTATCTTGGCACCGGTTGATGAGGATAAGAAATTGCGATAGATGCAGCGCATGTCTAACATCGCCTAAAACACGCACGTGCCGTGCATTTACTTGCCTGGGCTCGCCAGCAGCAAAATCCTACTTGATTTAATCAATTGGGTCCCGACTGGTAGGAAAATTGATTTTCCACCGATTTTTCACAACCTGACCTCTTTAATACTCCATATTATGCAGAACGCCGTATAAGTCTTAATCAAAATATCTTGAAACACTTTTGCTAATACTGTATCGCCACATCCGCAGGGGTGAATTGAGTTAAGCCCTAGCAACTGCGACCTTTAGAGCATGATTTCTTGGTAGAGAAGAAGTCTTGGGAAGGCCAGAGTAATAGGAACAGTATATTGTGTACATAGAGGAACGAATAATAATTGAAGAAGAAGAATGCTATATTGAGGATTTTAAAACCTGAATTTTCAGCAAAAATGGCTCCATTCACGGAGAGCAGATGGTAAGGCAAATAAAGGGTCATTTTAAAAGGTCTATTAGCAAAATGGCTCCATTCACGGAGAGCAGATGGTAAGGTAAATAAAGGGTCATTTTTTAAAGGACAAAGGTAAAAGGTCATGTAATACTCACAAGTCAAGTTTTCCACGACATTCACATCAACTATGGAGACAGATCGGCATTCG